TTCAAGCCATAGAAGCTCTTCTTTAACTGACATACTAAGTCTTCTTGGTCTGGAGCTCGGAACCCTTCAAGTTTCTCTATATATCTCTTCTTCAAAATCACTATGAAGAAATGCCGTCTTCACATCCATTTGTTCTACCTCGAGGTCCATCGAAGCCGCCATGGCTAACACGGTTCGGACCGAGGTCATTTTCATCACAAGAGAAAAAATCTCCTCAAAGTCTACTCCTTTCTTCTGATTGCAGACTTTCACTACAATCCGAGCTTTGTATCTCGACTTCTTCCCGTTCTCTTCATTGTTAATCTTGTAGACCCATTTATATTTTAGAGCTCGTCTTCCTTCAGGCAGCTTGGTCAGCTCATAAGTTTGATTCTCGTGCAGAGACTTCATCTAATCTTGCATTGCCTTTTCCCATTCTTCTTTCTCTGAGCTCGTCACAACCTCATCATAACTCTGAGGCTCACCGTCTTCAGCTACAACGGTGTATTCATCAGATGGGTATCTTGAAGAGGGTCTTCTTTCTCGAGTTGGTTATCTCAGCTGTTCTTCAGCTTGAGAACCCGGTTCATCATTCTCATCCTGGATCTCATCATCAACTCGGACCTCAGTATCTTGGTCATCATCAGCTTGTTGCTGGTCATCATTTTCATTATTCTCTTGATTTTCTCCCCCTGCTTCAGCTCGGATAGGAGGGATGGATTCTTTTCGTCTGACAGTAACCCAGACTTTGGGCTTCGAGATGTCATGTATTGTCTTATCTTCATGAAAGATCACATCTCGGCTTCTCACTATTTTCTAATTAATTGGATCCCAAAGTCGGAACTAGAACTCACATCTCAGCGAACCAAGATAAATTCATTCTTTAGTCTTCGCATCGAGTTTTCTCCTTTCATCTTTAGGGATATGCACGAAAGCTCGTCATCCAAATACCTTCAATTGATTATAGGCGCTTTCCGACCTGTCCAGACTTCTTCTGAAATTTCTCCTTTAAGTGGCCGTGATAGTGAGAGGTTGATCAAGTCAACAGCAGTTCTGACGGCTTCTCCCCAGAATGATTTCAGAAATCCGGCATTAGATAGCAAACTTTAGACCTTCTCCTCAATAATCTGGTTCATCCTCTCAGCAAGTCCATTCAACTGTGGAGTCTTGGGGGCGTCTTCTCAAGTTGGATCCCGTCCGCTCTACAATAAGCATCAAAAGGGTTGCAATACTCACCACCATTGTCAGATCGAACCACCTTCAATTTCTTCCCAGTCTCCCTTTCAACCATAACAAAAAACTCTTTAAAGGATTGGAGTACTTGTCTTTAGATTTCAACAAATAAACCCACACTTTGCGGGAGTGGTCATCAATGAATGAAACAAAGTATTGAGCTCCTCAAGGGATCTCTCCGACATGGAGCAAACATCAGTATGGACGAGGTCAAGAATATACCTGCGTCTTCTGGGTTGATCCGATTTCACGAAAGAAATCTGGTGCTGCTTTCCAGCTAGGCAGTGCATGCATCTCTACAACACTTGGCCTTTGAACTCGGTCAATAATCCTTTCTTGTGCAGGATTTGGAGCCCTTTCACACTCGTATGGCCGAGGCGCTTGTGCTATAGCTCCAAGCTAGGTCCATCTCGGACATAATTGGCTTCTCCACCATTGATCTTTTCTTGCATCACGTACAAGGAGCCTTCCTTCTTACCTCGGGCAACAACCAAGTTTCCCTTGGCCAGTTTCCATCTAACACTACTGAAGTAGTTCACTAACCCGGCATCGTCAAGCTCGCCTACCGAGATTAGGTTCAATCGCATGTCAGGAACATACCTTACATCTTTCAACACAAGTCGGCACCAACATCTGTGGTCAGGGTCACATCACTGACACCAACAATCTTGCTGGTCACTTGATTTTCCATCTTCATGACTCCAAAATCACCACCTCGGTAAGATGAGAAAAAACCTTTGTATGGAGTAACATGGAAGGAGGCACCAGAGTCAACAATCCAGATGCAGTCATCATATGCAACATTCAAATAATTATCCTCACCTAGGAGGAATATCTCGGCATCCGAGTTGGCAGCAACCGCAGTGGTGCTCTTGTCTTCCCTCTTCTTGGGAATAATCTGATCCAGCACAGAGTCGTTCTTCTCGTCATTCTGTAGAGTCCTGCAGTCTAGCTTCTTATACCCTGGCTTCCCACAATTGAAGCACTTTAACTCATATCTCAGTTTTGACTGACCTCTGGACTTTTCTCGTCTGTCACGATCTCGACCCCGACTCTTGCTTCTACCCCGGGAGTTGGACTTCCCTCTGTTCTCAGCAATGTTGGCCTTAGACGTGCTCAAAACACCTCGTTCTCTACTCCTGGCTTCTTCATTCAGGAGGCTAGCAGTTACGACATCCATCTTCAATTTTTCTTCTGGAGTCGAATTACTCAAAGTCGCTACCAGAGTATTCCACAGCAAAGCCTGCATCTCGTCATCTATTTTCATCTTCACAAGTCAGCGAACCAGGTGTGCTTTGTTCTTGGGAGTCTTCTTCTGAATCATGGACTCTAGCTTCGTCCGCAGCTCATACGCGTTCGTGAACTCGGACACGTGCTCAAAGAGGCTTTTGTCTGTGTATTTTCTGATTGTAGCTACCGCCTTACGACTTAGGATCTCCCACTCCTTATCGGTCTTGCTTGCCGGTCTCTAATCAAGGATAATGGGCTCATGTAAATCTTTGCATTAGAGATGATCTTCCATCATCGGTCTCCAATACGTGAAATCGTTTGCGGTCAGCTTGAACATATCTTCGTCATGGGTTATGCCACTGGTCTCCATCTCGTCTCCCTCAGAACCCGTCGAACTCGGGCTCTGATGCCACTGTTGGGAACTCAGTACCCTCAACTCGGCTAAAGAGCCTTTTCGCAGAAGTCAATCAACAAGATCCTGGATCTCAGATCTCGGCAATCTTACCTCGGCCTGAACTTCACCAGGTCGGGCAGCGCAGTGGAAAAAAGAAAATACAAAAGGGAAGAGAGAAAGAGAATACAAGCAATTTTTAATGTGGAAAAACCTTCTCCAATGAAGAAGTAAAAATCCACGGGAGTTGGTCCAGTTTAAACATCCACTATGAAAATAATGGGTACAAAGAATCAAGATTCACGAATGTGGTGGTTAACACAACCTCTCCAACAATAGTGATAATCAAACTTTCCTAGAGATGTTTTACTCAAACTCTCTCTAGAGGTCTCTCAAATACAAAACTCAAAGCTTTGCTCAAAAATCTCTCAATAATCTTCTCTTGTTCTAACCTAGCCTCCACACACAACTAATGAATATATAGAGGAGATGAAATATAGGGTTTAGAGTTTTTAGGAAACTCCTCAATGGACTTGGGCTTAGCATTGAAAGAGAAAGTCCAACAAAAAAAAGAAGAAAAAATAAAGCAAGTTTTTCTATGTAAGAGTAACCTGAGAGAATAATCTCATCTAATATAAGATTATACTTTCCAAGTGTATAACGTTGCGTAATGATTTGTACTAATGAAGTAACCTAGCAAGCAAATATAATGTCTACATTTTATGGAGTAAAAAAAAAATCTGAAACATTCAATACCACCCGTGAGGAGGTAAATCCAAGAAAAGAACAAAAGGGCACGGAGCAATTCAGCTGAAATCACGGTCTCTTGTTTGTAGCTAAGCTTGCTTTGTCTTCTTGCAAGGAGTTACCTTTATTTATTAATTTATGTTCTTTATTCCCAAGAATAGATCATAAAAACTAATAAATCAATGAATGGATTTGCTTCATCTCTTTTAGAGTTAAAATGCAGAGGAGAACAATTGATGGGTTTTCTGAAAAGTGTTTTTATTTAGTCCAATGGTGCATTATGGTACTTCCACACCCCCACATTTTGGCCGTAGTTTCCTGCCTTGACAACACAGCACTTCATTATGGCTTCTGAAAGCTTGAATACTATTTTCTCACCCCCATAACTTGTCAATTGTACATATATCTTTATCAATTTCGTTTTCTAGCATCCTTAACACTGCAAATTTCAAATACACACTACAATTAAGAATTTATTTATCATGTAGTTGATTAGTTAACAGATATTTCAAGGAGTAAACCCTCTTATTTGGTACGAGGTGGCGTGACACAATCTCAGTCATTCCTAGAAATGATGCTTATTGAAAGAATATTAGGAAACAGAGTGAAAAAACTATAGTAGTTAATTTATCTATGGACATTGATATCCTAAATGGAGCCCAAATAATCCAACATTACTTCTGGAGAGCATATTAAAAGTATGTATTCATTCTTCTTCCATTATGTAGCACACAACCTAAAAGCTACCTTTTTCGTTAGAGCAAATCCTTCCAATACATGTCTAATATCATAGCATATAATGGAAGGAGTAATTTCCATGTTGAATTTCTGATACATGAATTAGGCCCAGTATCCTACAAAACCAAATGGAGTACAGACTGTTATCTCCCACTTACTTCTGCCGAAGTCTATTGGTCATCCCCCACTACACTAACAACGCTGAGTGACCCATAGGCCATACCCTTCCTCACCCACATACCCCAAAAAATCTTTAGCCCAAAAAATAAAAAATAAATTAAACCCACCACACATACCTCCACCACACACACACATATATATATATATATATATATATATATATATATATATATATATATATATATATATATATATATATATATATATATATATATATATATATATATATATATATATATATATATGAGGTATGATCCTTTGACACCAGTGTCAAATTTAAAATTTGACACCTCATCTGAGAGCCGTTAGATAAAAAAAGATCAATGCTGTCATATGCTTACAAATCAGAGTCGTTTTCTTTTTTGATCTAACGATTTTCAGATGAGGTGTCAAATTTCAAATATATATATATATATATATATATATATATATATATATATATTTAACTATATATAACACTAAGTACTCACTCCTATGGAGCACCAAAATCCAACTTTAATAGCCATGAAAATCACACTTTCACTCTCTCCTTTAATCCTGTTCCTGTTCTTCTCCCTAGTTCAAGGGCTCAACCCCAAATGTGACACTCAGGATCATGGCTCAACCCTCCAAGTGTTCCATATCTTTAGCCCATGTTCCCCATTTAAGCCATCAAAGCCACTTTCGTGGGAAGAGAGTGTCCTACAATTGCAAGCCAAGGACCAAGCCAGGCTTCAGTTCCTGTCTAGCTTGGTGGCTGGAAGATCAATTGTACCAATTGCCTCAGGCAGACAAATCATACAGAGCCCAACTTATATTGTGAGAGCCAAAATAGGTACCCCACCTCAGACATTGCTCTTAGCCATGGACACTAGCAATGATGCTGCTTGGGTACCTTGCTCTGGATGTGATGGTTGCTCATCAACCTTGTTTGCTCCTGATAAATCCACCACATTCAAGAATGTTAGCTGTGGTGCTGCTGAGTGCAAACAGGTAATGAAACTTTAGTTGTCCACATTTTCTTAACCTTTTCCATTTTTCTTTCCTTTCTAAATTCATGTGGATTTAGGAGCTAGATTCCATTAGTTGAAAGAAACCAAACACCATGATGTTATGTAATGCAAATTTTCAGCTCATTTTGGCTGTCTCTTTTCTCCTTTATCCGTTCAAGAAGGATTGTACTCATGGCTTCCATCATTAGGAGGAAGCCAAAAAACACCAAGCTCAAGTTCTTTACCTCTATTTTATTCTTTTGATTCTCTTCTTTCTCTTTTTTAAACATTTTTTCACATTTTATTTTCATCTTTATTCATTCTAATAACTTTTTAGTACCTGACTTTAGTAGGAAAATTTAGAATAACTCACAAAATTATTGCAATTGTTCATCGTACAAAACTCTACATGTTAAGTAAGAATAATTATTTTTTCATGCAATAGGAGATAACTTTCTCATAGACATCAAAATCTATACTATATATACATACTTTTAACAAGTGGTGGACCTCATCACTTGTTATGTGTATGACATGAGAAATTGTATCTCATGTGTCACTAGAAAAAAGAAATTCACTAATTAAACTCTAACTGGACTAATGAAGTTATGTACTTAATTAAGTATCATTAAAATTATAACAATTGTGCAAGTAATACTTTATTTGAAAATTCAGTAAGAATCATGTGAACTCAAATGCCACTATTTTACAAGAAAAAATATACTCTTATGTTGATTCTCTCCTACACATATATGGATTTTCGTGTTACTTTTTTATTCTTTTATTCTTTTTCTATAATGGGTGGGTCCACGCATGATTATTTCTATTGCATGAGAGAATTCTCTCCTATTGCATGAGATTAATAAAGTCCATTTTACAAATGAAAATATTTTTGCGGTGCATAAAAATATGTAGTAATTGGTAAACAATAGTGGGGATTGCTTTGGATTACCCAAAAATATCTTTGATAGGACAAAACTCAAATGACCTACAACTTACCCTAGTTCTTTATTATTCTTGACGTGGAAGGAGGGTATTTTCACAATGAAAGGGACTCAATGATAGGTTTGGCCATCATCACATTGAAAGGGCTAGTCCCATTGACTGTGGGGTTGGAAAATATTTTCAATACTACTAGCACTAAATATATTAAAGAATGATTTATTTATAGTATTTTTATCTTTCGAATTTTTTTCTCCTATATTCATTTTTTCCTTTTTTAATAATGAAGTGAATATGCAAAGAAAATGTACTCCCAATCCAAAATCTTAAAAGCTATGTGCAGTCTATGGCAGGCAAGGGTTCACGAGACCTTGTTTTTTCGAAAGCAACATTTTCTAACATAGTGAGAACATTTTCAGGTACCCAACCCCAGTTGCGGTGGCAGCGCGTGCACATTCAACCTAACATATGGTAGCTCATCCATAATGGCTAACCTGGTCCAAGACACAATTACCCTAGCCACTGACCCAGTTCCTGGCTACAGCTTTGGCTGTGTTGCAAAGAGCACTGGGAACTCTGCGCCACCACAGGGGCTATTGGGCTTAGGCAGAGGCCCATTATCACTATTATCCCAGACCCAAAATCTCTATCAGTCTACATTCTCTTATTGCTTACCAAGCTTCAAATCCCTTAACTTCTCTGGGTCACTAAGACTTGGGCCTGTTGCCCAGCCCAAGAGGATCAAGTTCACCCCACTTCTCAAGAACCCTAGAAGATCATCACTCTACTATGTTAACTTGGTTGCTGTTAGGGTTGGCCGGAGAGTTGTTGTTATCCCTCCGGAGGCATTGGCATTCAATCCCACCACCGGTGCAGGAACCATCTTTGATTCTGGTAATGTCACTATACCTAGACACTACTTGTGAAAAGAAAAATGTTAATTAAGGGAAGAAAAACACTCTATGCTAATACAAAAGTGAGAGATTTAAACCTTCAATTTAGAATATCTAAAGTAAATTGAAAGTGCTAACACTTCTTAAATTCATTATTATGCTTTTGACTTACATAACAAACTTAGAATGTGTCATAAAGTGATTTTTGTTGTTGTTCCTTTCTAAGCTTCAAAAATTGATTAGTTGTTCCCTTCTATGTCCGGTTTCTCAAATGAAGTCCAATTGAAGGCCCTTCATGTTTTAATGACACCAAACAAGCTAGAAATTAAGTGAAAATGAAACAATTTTTGAGTCAAAATGCTACTCGTGATTGGACCATACGTCTCTCTCATATAATGCCCCACATGCCTTTTATTAAAAACACCGCAATTTTAGGCAATAAAGCGTGATTGACAATATAAATAATGTAATGGTAGTCACACTTCTCCTTTTGTTTTTTGTTATTTCCTAAAAATTAATAATCATAAAATACTAAAATGGACGTGCCAGATTATAGATTCAAATTTCGTTGTTACTATGATATAAAATAAAAATAAAAATTGAAACAAAAAACAATAAGACTAACCACAAAAAAGAGACTAATTATAATATAATGACCATAATTGTTTTTTTTTTTTTTGGCAAAAATTACTAGGTACGGTGTTCACCCGGTTAGTTGCACCGGCCTACGTGGCAATCCGAGACGAGTTCCGGCGAAGAGTTGGAGTAAACCTAACGGTGACAACCCTAGGAGGGTTTGACACATGCTACACAGTCCCAATAGTAGCACCCACAATAACATTCATGTTCTCAGGCATGAATGTGACGCTACCCCAAGACAACATCCTCATACATAGCACTGCCGGCAGCACCACATGTTTGGCCATGGCGGGTGCACCAGATAATGTGAACTCAGTGCTGAATGTGATAGCCAACATGCAGCAACAAAACCACCGTGTGCTCTACGACGTGCCCAACTCAAGGCTTGGCGTTTCTCGTGAACTATGCACTTAATAAATGGTTGCTCGTGAATTTTCATGACTTTTGGTGGCAATAATCATGTCAAATTGGCATTAGAAAGTTACTTGGGTAATGGTATTTCATCTCTTGGTGGGTTTGATTTTGGTATATTGTTAAGGTTTTATTGCTAACTACGTAGTGGAAGATTTTGAGGTACTATATGTATGGAATTAAATTCATGTTTTGAAAGTTGAATTCTATTTGTAGCTTTTGTAATGGTGTGTCACGGGTTTATATACCTGTAGCCCTTGTGTCTTTTATATTCATGTTGATTGAATTGATGAGACTCAGTGTTCAGATTATCGTGAAACTTCACGGGTCGTATAATAATCTTCCTTTTCTTTGTTTATTTTACAGATTCGGCACCCCCACCTTGTCATTTCATTTATAAAGTAATGTTACATCGACAACTTTTTTTTTAAAAAATAAATTATTTTAATGTATTAATGTAAAGTCAGAAAAAGCCTTTACATTAATATTACACCGAAGTTGTCTACTAACAAAAGATTGAGATAGCTCAATCGCGGCTCAATCGAGATTTTTCTAAGATGGAAAGATTTCTCTAGCACTGTTATTTAATTAAAGATGTTGTTTTTTCTCTAATTTTATTTAATATATAGATTAAGCATATAAGTAGTTGTGAAATCAGAAATTTTTGTAATAGGGAACAAAATAAAATTTAAAATTATAAATATTACTAAGATTAAAAAGAGATACTAATTATTAAAAATATATTTAAGAAACAAACTAATAGTAAACCCTTCGACTATTATTAAAAATATTATTTTACACACAAAAGTAAAAAAATTAAAATTTAGAGAGGGCGATCGCCGATGCTAACCCCTCCCTTGATCTATTTGCATATAGGTATCCCGTTCTATAATTTTTTTTTTGACTTAACTTAATGCATTTTGTTTAATATGCTAATAATTGGTGTATTGATATAATTAATTTTGAAATATATATTATAAAACATTAATTTCTAATTTTAATAATTTAGTTATACGTAATAATTGAATTTGAAATAGGTTGTATTTATAAATTTTTTATTTATAAACTCTTATAAAATACTCTAAAAATATACTAACTTCAAAATATATTATAAAATATACATAATATATTTTGTAAGAATTTATAATCATAACTCTTCCTATTGAATTTATACATTTTGTAAATATCTAGGTTTAGCCTGGTCTAGACCCAATTATTAGTCTCAAATCAAGTTAAGGTCAAATTGGCTCCACATTGAGTAGGACCTACCTAAGCACAAGAAAACCCACGTAGCTCACACTAGGTCGAGTAGAATCAGGCTAGGCCTAAAGATATTCAAGCTTTAATTTAGTTAGCCCATCTCACATTTTTATTGGGTTATTCGGAATAGCCTTGTAGATCTTACCCATTTTGACGCCATCAGAAGAGGATTTGGGTGGGTGGTCTTGTAGAAACAAGTTTGTTCCAATGCTTTACTGTTATCAAGTATTAATGATGATAAAGACAAGACAATAAGATGATAACATCATACATGTGTTTAATCGAATATAATATCAAGCATGCATGGTTATGTACTTTATCTTATTATATATCGCTTAAGAATCATACAATGAGATATGTATAGTGTAACATCCCGTGCACATCTAGTGTATTAATATACAAATAATATTAAGCGTAGCTCGAAATAAATGAGGAAGCTAGTTAATTCAATTATGAACTCATATTTGTTTAGTCAAGTGAAATTACTTTTTCTTTTTTAAAATAACCTGTATGTAATTGCAATACTAAAAATAGTCTAAATAACCTCATGATCATAAAGTTAAGTCATGGGTCACCTCCTCAAGTAGCCATGACAATATCCTAATACATCATTTATACAAATACCAGTCAACAAGACTAAACCAAATTATTTAAAGTGGCATGGACAACCTCATGCTCACACCAAATCATAATAATAGGTACTACAATCGTCATAAACATCATGTCTCAAATACATCAACCGCATTCAACATAATAGAAAATAAGCATGCACATAATATAAGCTCTACTATGGGCTCTTGCCTCTAAAGATATCTGCCCCATGCACGTTTACACCCGAAAATGTGCCCCAGAAGGAGTGAGATCTCTAACTGAAATTTTAGTAAGACAATAGGTCCTCAAGGACTTTTCCGCATCAAGCTCACTTACAAGTATATAATAAGTATGACAAAATAACAAAATGCATGGCAATAATAATGCAATATCATCATGGTAAAATAATTTGATCCTCATGTATTCATATATCTCAGTATATATCAAGTGATATATGCAAGTGCGGTTCAACTAGCCAGAGAATAGAATAGGATAGCCTTACTTTGATATACAACCCAAGTTTCTAAATATCTTAGTCCACATTAAATACCATTTCGGTATCTCACCATTTCCTTGGTGTAATTTCACCAAGGTGATTACATATTTTATGCTTATAGTAAGATCATATTCAAAGGGAATAACCCCATTTGTGGCCTCTAACCACAGGTTGTACTTACATGTACTTCCACCCATGTTCTTAATTCAAGAACGTGTTGTTTCACTTTTGCACCTAATACAGAACAAGCACCATTTTTTATACCTTAATGTCGCATCTAATCTTACAGGTTTACTCAGTTCTACATCACCAAAACATATTGGCGAATCAATTTCGTAACACATTTAACTTTTACCTAATGGACCAGTCATCATATTTATATATCATATTGTTCATTTCAAAGCCTTCAACCACAAATCCACTTGGGGAGTTCTATATACAAGGTCATACTCATAATTTACATTAATCATTCATTCCTTCATCGACTTAGCCATCTCAAGGCTTAACATACAATCCATCAATGATTTTTCACATTATAGACACATGCCTAAGATTTCCACCAACAACTATGTTTACATATCGTTCTATACTCATGCTATAAATTCTACATATATTTCATCCTTATACCTCAATTTCATAATCATTACATTTAACCATTGGTGTACCGTTCAGATATATCATATCATATCCCTTGCAAATAAGTCCCATCATATTAGGGATTTTCAAAACCTACTTATCTTGTCATATGGAACTAAATCCATCACTGTCATTACTTTTAACATTCAACATCGGTGGATATACAAATCTCTTGGAATATTTCAGGCTACTACATACGCATGACCATATATCATAGTACCTAGCCAAAAACAACTTCAACATTGTGCATTTTCAACACATCTCCCCCTATAAATTGCATATACAATATACAATACTCCATAAGTCACTCTACCAGTAAAGCAAAACTATCAACCTTTTATTTAACCAAGCACAATTCTATTTACCAGCTATTATTACACATTCGTACTTGACACCATCACAATTAACCTTTCATTAACGGCCAACAATTCACCGCCTTAACTTAAAATCTCGATCATCACAAGCCTTCCTAGAAAGGCATTTACTTAGTTTGTCAACACTTAATCAAGTTATTATCTCTTTAACATAAAGCGAGAATCCCCAACAACTTCTCAATATCACTTGAAGTCGAAAATCATATCATCATACTTGATTAACACATACATTAATGCCTCACTGTCTACGAACACACACTACAGAGTGCTTCAAATTCACACTTCAGAAATTCATCCTCATTATGCCTTACATCTTATACTCAATTTGACAATTTATCGTCCACTTACAAGTACATGACATCACATCTTGCGCTATTCACATGGCACACAAGTCAAAGAGAAAACAATCCAACCACTACCTTCCACTAGGTGTGGTGGAACACATGAGGGATAAAACCCAAGTACCAAGAGTTTACCTCAACTCCACAAATTTGCTCTTCCATGTAAGCTCCAAGCTTAATCCACTTGTATTGATTCCGTGCAAGGTAACCTATATTCAACAATTAACTAATATCATCCATACTTGCATATAACCACTACAAGTCAAAACAATAATTTTCAACACAACAACTTAGGCATAATGTCCAACCTACATTTAATTCGATTACCTCAACCATTTTAGTCATTAAACTAACTCATCATTTATGCACCAAGGCATCACTCATTGGTTGTACCATATTTTCACATAATTTTCCTTATTTCATTCCATATGGTCGAAATCCCATACACACAATACATCCAACATTCTCATTTCCAATTCCACTACATCACACCAACCTACCATACATTTAAACACCATTCACAATCATATAACATCAACTATACCATTTTTACATCATCAAACCATCCATGACCTCAATAGGTCGAATTGTTCATGCCCACCAACCTAGGGGTATTCAATCTAATTAAATACTTTCACATATCATACAATCTCATTATTAACTCATACCAATGCTCTACAACTAAATTATTCACTCCTATCATCATGCCAATTTACAAAGTATTGAAATTCAACTCAAATTTCACTAAGTTACAATTTTTCAAATCACAATAATTTTTATTGCATCAATCATCATCATTTATCATTCTAAGCATTTAATTCCAAAGGAGACATACCATTGAATGCTCCTAACTACCACAACTCAACATACATAACCAAACCCTCACTAATTTTATGATCTCAATCAAAACTCCATGAGAGTGAGAAAACTTACCACCAATAGTTTCCTAGGATCCAAGGGGATGGTCTCCAACCAGTGAATCAACACAAGAATCCCCAAAAATTCTCCATAAAGTCACCAAATTCGTGGCTGTATATGGGGGATTACTCCTTTCACAATGCTCCCTACAAGATGCTCTCCACATGAAAGTCATTCACAAAAGGGTGAGGAACAACTTTGTAGTTAGAAGTTTCTCTCAAAAGTGTCTAGAAAAAGATTAGAAAATCAAAAGCTTCCAACCCCAACAATGGAGAAAAGCCTCGACGGGAGAAGGAGAAAGAGAGAAGAGAGAAATCTGATTTTGAGTGAAACTTTATCTATTTGTCACTTAAATCACTTAAGTGAGTCCCACATGTCATTTAACCT